AATGCCTCCAGAGCTTTTTCAGCCCCTTTACGCCACCAAAAGCATCTATAGTATCAGGGACTGCCTGTAATGCTTTTCAGTGTTTGCTCGGCTGCAGTGTATGATATGTTGTAGCCGCTGGGATTTTCCCCTTCAGTCTGTTTCACTGGGGGCTATCACCCTTCGCATATTTCGTTCTTGTTGGACATAATTATCAACAAATATTGCGAAACAATTGTTCTTTGAAGGGCTGCTCCATCTTTCGAAGTCGTGGTGCTGTAACGCGTAGTGCTTGCGTAGACTTGTCCTTCAAAGTTAAGCCCAGCTTCTGTCACTCACAGCACACTGTGAAGAGCACCAGAAGCGTGAAGCCCCATTAGATGAATATTGCTTAACGGTGCAGAACTGGTGCTAGAGTGCTGGAAAACTGCGCATGGCGCCTTGTCGATATTGTTGCTCGCCTTTAAATGCGCATTATGAGACAACGTGCTTCACTTGGTTGGTGTCTTGACATAAAATAGTAAATATTTCAGTGCGGATCGTCTACTTTTGCTAGCTTTTCTTAAGTGCTGTGGAGCGGGTCCCACTTGCCGTGGTTACGGCCATGGCTTGCACGAGGCAGGCAGGTGAGATCTACTGTGTTACGATCTTCTCGAAGGGATTTTATGGAGCAAATATGTGCTAATTTGCTACATAGGTAGGACGTTTGGGTGAATTTACTGGGGAGCTATTCGCCGAAGCAGCATGTACCATTGGCTCCCCCACAGGAAAGAGGCCGCTCGATCTGCTTTGGACCGCTTTCTCGACACTATCGACGCCTAAGGGACCCAAAGAACAGCAACTACCGTTATTTCATGGATAATATGAGCTTTTTTAATGGAATAATTTGTTTTTCCCTGTAGAAGTCGCATTTGCTTGAGGTCGGTGCTGGCCATTAGCTGTCAGATGTTACAGGGTACAGGCTCGACTCCCTGAGCGCTCGTGAGGCATCCCCTTGTCGCATTGTTTTTTTGTCTCATACGGTTGTAAATACGGAATTACACTCATATTGTGGCACTGGGTCGAGCTGCTTTTAACTTTTTGCCAGTGGTTCACTCCTACCATTGCCACTTAGGCAAGCCTTGCCGCTCGACATGCGCTACTTGGTCAGCTTTCTCATATCTCTTGATTAGGCAAACAGTATTCGTTGATTGGTTTTACGAAGATTTCATTCTGGAACCCGCGTTTTGGCTGATACCTCAGGAATTTGGACCCAAGTTTGCCTCGCAGCGTAATTCCCCGTGACCTTCATTTTTTCAAGGCGGATGCATGGTGCATGAAGATCTAAACGAAGCGAGTTACACTCTATAGTGATTTCCGCGTGCTTTTTAATTGCGTTTGTTCTAGCTGTTCCCTTTCTTGTGGTTCTACTGCCATTCGGTACTTGAGGCATAGGGACTCGGGACAGTTGATACGTTCACTGAACCACAAGAAGCACAACCAGCACAGACAGGGCCCGGCTGCTCATTTCCAACATTTCTGCTGCTTATTGTGGATTTCCCAATTGGTGCAGCGTACTGTGGGTATGGCTGCGTTGCTAGCCTCCCATTCCTCAGTGCGCTTCTCAGACGTCCTTGAGAAATTCTGAGCCTCGTAACCTATGCGTTTAAGGAGCCCAAGAGGAAGATGATGCACCCTGAAGAACCTGTAGCACCTCAAACTCTGGAGCAGAAGTCAACTTCGGCGTCGAATGCTGAAACTACAGCGAAATCAGGCAAGCTGTAGAACCGCAGGAGGCGTGCTGAGGAAACTCCTGTTAGCTTTGTGTGAATGGAGTCAGCCGTGATGTTTTTTCTGTTCTTGCCCAGGGTCAGTTGGGAATTTAATTCATTGGCATGTAGGCTTGGTTTGCAGGAATACCAGAGTTCTTTGGGTTTCTGTTGCAGATGTTGACAGCAACGGCATCAAGTCCCCTCACCAGACTGAACAGTCTGAAGTGCCTACTGTTGGGTCCCAGTCGTCCCAGCCACAGAGCAATGAGGAAGGAAACAGAAGCCCCAAGACGGAGGAATCCACAGGCAGTGTTTCACCCCAAGGCAAGAGTGGCCTTGCTGCGTCGCGTGTGTCTAGCCGAAGTTTGAAAAGGCCTATAAAGGGCCACGCAGTCCGGCCCGCCAGAGTGCACCCATCAAGGGCAAAGCTTAGCCGCGGCCCAGCCTCCAGAACGCAGAGTCGTGGAAACGGGAGTTTAGCTGGCGGGGCAAGGTTTCCGCATGACCACCGCAGGCGCAATCATAAAGAGCAGAGGGACAATGATTATGAACACCAAAGAGAGAACCGCAAGAAAGAACCCCCCACAGAAAGCCAGCCGCAAGAGGCCCCAGAGGCTTTACCTTCGTCTCCCTCTTTAGAGGCCCGCAGGTCCACATATTTCAGTATTTGTCTTAATGCTTCTCCTGACGAGCTCACTGTCGTGTCGTATACTTTAAGGATGGAGAGCGGCAGCGGCCTTTTTGATGATAACTGGCGAAGGCGAGAGGCTGCACTTACCCGCTATTTGCTTTCCCTGGAAGATATACACCACCCGGATGTACTTTTGATTCAGGGAGTGTTTTCCAGCTCGACCCAGCGGCTGCTGAGAAGGCTTGCCCGGGAAGAGCCGTTGTTCCCTTTCCAGACGCGGGTGGTAGGTGGTTACCCAGGATGTTGCAAGAATGAGGGTGAGGAGGGCCGTTGTTCGTGGTGTAGCCGCTGCTGGTGGTGCCAGGCCTTTCCCTCACGCAAACAAGCAAAGAAAAAGGGCGCGGCCGCTGCTTTTGTGATGAACAATAGCTGGGATTCTGTATGCGGAAGCTTTTCGCGTTTTAAGGGGAATGGTGGCATTGTCATTTTGTCAAAATGGCCAATACTGCGTCGCCACGCCTACATCTTTTCAGCCTCAGCTTATCCACAGTCACTGTCCAATGCTGGGGCGGCTTTGGTCCAAGTGGAGAAGTGCGGCAAAGTGTACAACGTGCTGGCTATGCAGCTGCAGCCTGGGGCAAATCACAATCCCCTCCGCGTGGCCCAAGTTAAGGAGGTGATGGAATGGGCAAGAACAGGGATGGAAGACATCGAGAAGGTGGAGTTCGCCTCAAGTGATGTTGACAGGGCGCTTTCCTCTCCGGGAGAAAGCAGTACAAGGACCGAAAGCTCTGTCGCCTCGGACGACTCCGCGACAAAGCCCAATCAGACGTCTCAAGCTGGGCTTCCAGAACTTGAGACAAAGTCTCCTGGGGCTGCTGAAGAACGCAAGCATTGCTACCATAGGCGTGCAGATCTACCGAAGGGCATTCTGAAAGCTACAGATCCCCTCATCATTGGAGGAAACCTGAACTTCCGCTTCACAGAAGACCGGAAGTCACTGGCTGAAGCATTAGGAATTGATGGTTTGAATGCGAACTTAGCGCTTGAAGATGCATTCATCGCGCAGCCGAATTTCGATACGGTCAACAACGACACGTGCTACCAGAGTAAGACGCCAGCGAATACGAATATACAAAGGCGTATCACGCACACTTATGTCTCTTTTAGTATGTATGTGCATGTGACAGCATATTGTGCCATGGTAGGCTTTGTGGACATGCTCATTAGCTTCTTGGCTCGTAAGACGTGAGAGTCATGATGCTGCAGCCTTCATAAGCAGCGCACCTGCTGGCCTTCGAAGCTATGTCTGCTTGCTACAGGCGAGGGATGCCCGAAGCAGCCCAAACAGGAGTTGCTGGATTATCTCTTGATATACTCTGAGCATGCAGGCCGAGTAGCTCGTGGGCAAAGGACTCTTGTGGACCCTTCTCCAGAAAAGATACTTTACCGACCTCTTGTGTTCGGCTGTCTGCCAGGCAGCGCTTTGGAAGTTAGCCATGTCAGTGATTTCTTTCCCGTTTGTGCCACCTTCGCACACAATTCTGAGTAGCGGACTCGACACGGTTGCGCCCAAAGATATGGCGAAGAATTTGGCGGGTTAAGCACGTAGCTGAGTGCAGGATTTACGTACAAACGTGTCTGTGCCATTGAAGCGCGCCGTGCCTGGTGGGGTCGGACCTGCAGCTTGTAGGGCCAGCATCAGGGAACTACTGTTTGATCGTAGCAGGTCGCGTACGCCCTCACAAAGGCCGAAGTGCGTCGGTCTTAGCTGTGTTGAGTTCGACGATGTTTCACACTGTAAAAGGTGGCAGAACTTGCGACCTTGTGTACGCATGACGAATTGTCCGTGCAAGAGTATCACGTGCAGTAGAAGAAGGCGGTTGAATTAAAAAACACGCAAACTGTCTGATGGTATGGAATATTTTGGTGGTTTTGAGGCGACCCGCACTGGACAGGACAAACGCTTGCGGCGCCATTGCAAGTCTCGGTGAACAGTTGTGCTTGCGTGCCAAGTGATTAATAGCACTGCGATGCTTTCTCTTGAGAATCTTCTGGAGCCAGTGAATTCTCGCAACTGAATCGTTGCATTTTCTGCAATATTTCTCTGGTGAAGTCGGGAGTACGATGTGCATAAAGGAGCACATCAGTTTTGAACGTAGTCGTGCTTTGTGTACGTGATTTCTTTTTCACATTAAGAGAAAGACGATTTGTTATAACACTTTTTTAAGAAGCAATTCATGAATCAACTACTCTCAGACATACTTAGGGCTTTTCAGTCTATGCGCAGACCATGTTCAGTTTTTGGAGGCTATAGGGGGCCATGCCTTCTTGTCCTTGAAACTAGGGCGCGGACATTGTTCGCCACAAATTCGAAAGTGACAGACGCAAGTTGCTGAAAGTAAGCACTAAGTGTGACGGCACTTAGTAACTGGGCAACTGGGCAAGCAATACGCCAGTTGGACTGCTATGGCACGTGCTGAGATCTGTTGAAAAGTGTGACGGCCGCTCAGTACTGGATATATCAATTAGAACTAAACAACAGGACACTCCAAATGACTGCACGTGGAATGACATGGAACTTCACGACGCATACGAAGCAGCAGAAATTGTCCGCAAGGTGCAAATATCATGGTCGGTCACTGCCACTGAGCAGCTGCTCTAACTTGCTGTGGCACGAACCTCGCGCCTTCCTTTGCTACAGGGGACCTTCCAGCGAGCGGCGGAAGTTGGGTAGGTGCTTTCGAAGGCATCGTGGTCCACGCTGTCTCGCTTGCTCGATTCTCCTGCACTGAGGCTACCGCCGCCCGTGTGGAAACATGTTCATTTGCGGAGGATAACGACTGTCCATACGGTACATTCCGTGCCTCCCAGTCAGCAAATCCACGCTTGCAGTGGAGGTCATGTGCAGGGTATGACGATGGAGCGTCTCCCAATAGCTGCTGTGGCTCGTAGACCGCACCAGAAGAACATTGCTCGCTGCTGCATGAGCTGCCCATGAACATATTTGCTTGGGGACTTGCTTGCCGCAGGTGGATGTCCTTAAGGATGTCTTCGTCGCGTGCGCTCCACATCTGCAGCACTTCCACAGCAGACGGCCTTGCTCGTGGGTCCGGATTGAGGCACCTTAAAATGATGGCCCTCGCGATGCCTCGAATCTCATCGGCGATCTCCGGAACAAGGGCTCCAGCAATAGCCTTTGATTTGAGCTTTTGGTAGATAGTGCTGGGGCTGTCACGGCTTGAAATGTGCACGTGCATCGGATTTAGAAAGCCCAACATTTCCTGAAAAACGCAGCCCATTGACCAGATATCCCACTTTTCGTCGAAGGGGGGCAGCTGTGCTCCCGAGTCGGCCATCATGGACTCCACCGGGCTACAGCGCAGCAGCTCTGCTGGAGCGTAGAACCACGTGGCACCGGAAATTCGGGATACACGCCCATCAGGAGAAGCCTCTGCGTCCCCAAAGTCGCAGAGCTGTATACTCCAGTCATCGGCTATCAAGACATTTTCAGGTTTGATGTCTCGGTGCACCACAACAGGCTTTTTGCCGGGAATAGGAGTGTGCAAATACGCCACAACTGCGGCAAGTTGGCGGCACATATACAGCCCATTATGCGGAGAAATAAAACGCTGCACTTGAGGGTCGCGAGAATACTTACGCGAGTGCAGATCGCTGCCCTTGGCTAGCTTTGTGACTAGCCACACATCAAAAGGCCCGTGAACTATACCACCAACAAGGCGGACCACATTTGGGTGCTGACACACTGAGAGAATTTGCCATTCATTTAGCGTGCGCTCCATCACCCCAGCTGGATCAGTACGCAACATGCTTTCCACCGGCACCTTAATGGCCACTTTGGTGCCAAAGTACGAACCCACAAAGACCTTCCCAAAGCTCCCCTGCTCAATTAATGAGTACTGTAGTTCCCCTCCTGGTAGCAACACTGAATCAAACGTGACACTACTGCTATGCAAGGAAGTTGATCCTTTCTGGAGCTCGACTAGTGTTTCCATCAGGGCCCAAAAGCGATCTGTGCTGTACACAGTCACCACGTCTGTGCATGGGTCTTCAGCTTCCTCTGTGGCCTTTTGGTCCCCGGACTCAGGCAACGTTGTCATAGGCAAGGTGCCACGTGACCTAGACGCTAACGAAATCGGGGAATGACGCATGGCAGAGTGAGCTTCCACGGGCTTGACGTGTGAATGCCCAGCTTCCCCATAATACAGCGGGCTTCTTGAAGGCACTGACTCCATACAAAAGCGGTTTTGGTGGCGCCCCATGACTGGAGGCACCGCAGCAGCTCCGCAGTACACAGATGCATCCGGACTTCTGATGGGCTCTCTGCAAGTCACGCCCTCCGGCTGTCGACTCCTCCATCTGAAAGAGGCTGAAATTCCTTTCGCGGGAAGCAGCGGGAAGCCTGACTCGCCGGCTTCGCGAGGCGGCGACTCAGGAGGCTCCCTGTGCAGCCAATTCCTACACGCCCGCAGCTCTCGGGTTTCCCACTGTGGCTGCACCCTTGGCACTGCTTGAAAAGGCCTGAGACGGGCTTTTTGCGAGCACTCTAAGGCTTTCAGCGCCGCCTTTGCAGGCGACTCTGAACGCCTCAGAGTTCTATTTGGCCGCCGAATGGTGGAGAGAGGGGTGTTACAGACAACTGCAAGGCCGTCAGTACCAGCTGGCAAGTGTCTACTTGGGATGAAAGATGATGCTGCGGGAAAGCGCAGTTTCTTGGGAGTTCTGCGGCGAGGGGAGCTGCGGGGGAGCACGGGGGTCTTGCAAAGCGCAGTCACAGCAGCCAGTTCATACTTTGAAGGCGACTGAACTCGGGGGGATTCTTTGAAAGAGAAACGGGGGCTCATGAGGAAGCATCCGTCGCAGCCACTGGCTTTGCCGCCAACACCTCGAGAGCACCCAGCTCTGTCGGGTCGCAAAAACTGGACACGGCCGTAGGCTGGGGCTGCCGGCTGCCCTGCTAGCGGCAGCTGGGGGCTACGTTTCAAGCTTGAGGGCCTCCCTACATATGCGCCCACAGAGGGAGTCATGGGGCTCAGCGCCGGACTCCACGCCCCGTACGCTGCTGGCGCCATCGGGCCCAGGCAAGGCGAGGCGGGAGCACCCCATTCCACGTCTAAAGCTGACAGGTCCCGAGGCTCGTCATGTACGAACGAGCCGGCCATTCCTTGAAGTGCATATACTAGCTGTAACGACTATCTGTGCACGGCGCAGCAGTTCGACCCGGCTGCCCATTATGCTGCCGGCTAGTCAGCCCCATGCAGTCGCCTCTCAGGGTTCCCGCAAACCCGCTAACAAGACAGCAAGAAGGAACAAAGGCAGCTTGTGCCAAAGTCCTAGTGCAGCAGACAGCCGTGGATTGGGCGTTCCTCTTGACAGTGGGGCGCGGGTGCTCGACAAGAGTCCTTGCGATCGTCGGCGCCCCAGACACAGGCCGCACGACAACACCTTACCTGCCGGGTAAGGCTCTGTCGTATCTTGGAGCCCTCCAGTTAGCTCCAGGAGTTGAAGAACATATAGAAGGCCATAAATATTTGGCCGTGATCTCCCAATTACTCGTGCGCTCGTTGTTTTCTCAGTGGCGGGAATGAGGCACAGAAACTAGCCACGGCTCACAAACGGATACTGCCTCTGCGCAAACATCACAGGCGCAAGAAAGCTTTAATATGCAACATATGCAGCGAATATCCTCCAAACTTCAGTAAGAACACAACGAATCCGGCCCACCCGATGTGCGCCTCAGCAGGCACGGGCAGACCGCTGCGCCAATCGTCACTGCACCTGCACAGGGCTCTTCACGGCTTCGACTTCCTTGTGATCATCCCTGTTTGTAGAGACAAAAAAGATACTTATATCAGCAGATATTTATGGGGTCTACAAGTAACGGGCTCTGTTGCATACTCGACGGAGAAGGTTTCAAAAATTGACGTTTCATGGACCGCCAGCGAGGAGTCGGGCATGATGCGAGTGCCACCTGCTACGCAGAACTTTTTGTTCTGTTCTGTTTACAAGCAGTTACCGTCATTCATATTTTCACAGATAGAATGTCTAGAAGCGGTGAAACTTACCAGTGCAGCTTATGCTAAGAAGACGGGAACATTACTGACGAGGCGCCTGTCGGTACTATCGAGGCGGCTGCAGCTCCCGCCGTAGCTGCATACGTCTCAGTAATGCACTTACTTGCTCCAAACTGCCAATATATTTAAAAGCAAAGCAATTTGGAGTGACTACTGCCACCAAACGGTTGGTCTGGAGACGCGTCCTGTAAGTTGGTGTGCAGACGAACCACAGTGGTCTGGTCGCTCACCTCTGCTCTGCATTTCATTAAGCGAAAGGCCACAACTTTACTAATCCTGCAACAATCCTTGCAACCAGAGGAGGCTCTCATTGCAGCCAACGTGTAGGCAGAATCCTCAGGCTAAAGAGAGGGCACCAGTTCCCGTTTTAATCGCTCGCCCCAATAGCTTACGGAGAACTGTACAGGGATCTAGCCATTAAACACGCAGAGGTCTAGCGGCCAACTGCATCTTACTTTAGGAAGTGGTGTTTCAGGGAGAGCTGGCGTTAACTTCTGCTCTTAACGCCAGGACACCTGCACCGCCTTCGTTCCAGCAAACCGAATGCTTCTGCTCATATGCAGCTTTCTACACAAGGGAAACGCATATATAATTAACACACTGGAAACGCATATGATTAGTATCTTGCGCCCTCATATGGGCTCTATTAGAACAGAACACGACAAGAATTCATGTCGTTTTTCCAGTGATGCATCTAATCTACTTCCAGTCTGGCACGCGAAGAACACATGTCTTCTGTGTATTTTTTTGATCTCACTTATTGAAAAAGCATTTTCAAAAAAGAGCTGACTCAAAGTGACCTCTTTGTCAGCAAACCTTCGGTGCAGTTGAAACTCGGTGGATAATCCCCAGTGTTGACTTGAATCTGAGAAGTATTCGACAGGCAAACTTGAGTGACCACACTTAAAGGTTTAGTCACTTAAATTGTAGCTTGCTGATCAGCTCACGGCACTGCAGCCAAGTCCACGACTTGAGGCATCAAAGAAGGAGTTCTTCTAACTCCTTCTTTGACAAAGATTCGGACTAAAAAAGCACATTTCTTTCCATCTCTGACCAGTTGAAAGCCTGGATGCAGCTTGAAAAGCAATGCAGATACATTCAGGGAAGTAAAGTAAGACGAGGAGCTCCATTGGTCACATCACAGGGAAGTGACACATCACTTTCGGTCGTTTTCTTTCCACATAGCCTTTCCATGCCACTAAGCTCGGCTTCAGGCTCTTATTTGTAAATGACATACGAGCTTTAGAGTTAGCTTCACTTCATCTGGCTTCGACATTCTCAGGAAAAGCTCACAACGGGCTGTTCCGCCGTTCGTTGGCTGCCCATAGCCGAGCCTCCTGCTCCTTCTCCTACAATCCGTGCCACTCTTGAACGAATTCTTCTTTTCTGAAATTCTCTGAATACTAACTCAGTCGCTGGAATACCAGCACTATGCTTTGCAGCTCAATGATTTCAGCATTTGGTGCCAAAGAGAAGGCGGAACTTAAGAATCTGCCCAGAACCTGCAACGGAAACCGCTAGAATGGCCAGATTGCACTGCAGCAGTAAACATTTCACTGGTTAAGCAGCTTTCTTCGCTGAATCTTGTGTGCAATATGCCGTGGACAGAGGAGGCTCGAGCACGTTTCCCCAAAGCCCAGTTATTTGGGCTACACCTGTTCCTTTGCAGTATGGGATCTTGAAAAATAAACGTAACACCTGTAACTTCGGCCATTTCAATGGTAGACAAGGCCAATGAGCCGTTAGAAGAGCGGTGACGACTCCTGCTGATCCTGTTCAGAGCATATGACTTCGTGACTACGGCTTCCTAGAAAGTTTCAATCCTTTTTCTCTACAGTGCCATCTATGCCGGACAGATATTATAATTTCTTACACATTTGCTACTCTTTTTTTTCAAGAAGCATCACATAGTCGTGATGTGTTGCAGCGATGGTGTTCAAGGCAGCGGTCAACGCGTGGGGCTTCTTGGCTGTGGCGACAACATTGCCGCAGGTGTCTACAGCATGTTGTTGAAAAGTTTGTTTTATTAACCTCAAGAGCTGGAAATACCTCATATTGAACAAATCGCAGCCCTCAAGAGAGCTACCAATTCGGTGCTTTGCGTTCCACATAGGAGCCAGGGCTTGTAGCCTTTCCGCCCCCAAAGGCGAGCTCATTTGAACACTAAATTCCCCCAGCTTCTCTGAGTTGAATACTTGCTAACAGTCCGCACATAGAAGGTCCAGGCGGGAAGTGACCTCGAGCTCTTTCCAGCTATTGCTGGGCTTTGCGTGACCAGAGTCGATGCAGCTGCGGCTTGGAGGGAGTTCAGCTACGCGGCGTGGCCACCTAGCGTCTTCATTTAAAGTTCTTTGGCTTATTGCTGCCAGCAGCAAGGCCCGTCTGGCCGCTGATGGCCGCTGCTGCAGCGCGGCCGCTGCTGCTGCGGCTAAACAGAATTCCTTTGAGGCAGACACACCGAAATGCCTCCACCCAAACTGGCCGCGGGGCAGCAACACGCGGCGACTTGGGCAGATCTCAGGGGCCATGCACTGTGTGGACATCACTGGATGAGTTTCGGGGCTTCCAGGGTACGGAAAAGCTTTCTGCTTCCCTCGGTCGGTGGCTACCGGTTACTAGGTGGTGGCTACGCGCGCAGTGGGCTTATATGCTCTATGCTTTCCTTTTTCTGAGAGCTGAGACATAAAATATATTAGAAATTTGAGCTGTTTATTGCATATTTCTGCAGATATCCCGGAATCCCGCCCCACGCTGCAGCTGCAGCGGCGCGGCAAGCCTGCTGGCAGCAACAGCAGCAGCGGCAGGAAACGTTCGCTTCCCCCCTGGATTTTCGCGCACGACATAAAGAACTTCACGGAGCTGCAGAGCCTTCAGCTGCCGGCCGCTGCAGACGCGGCTCAGCAGCAGCACGAGCAGCAGCAGCAGCAGCAGCAGCAGCAGCAGCAGCAGCAGCAGCAGCAGCAGCAGCAGCGCGGCAGTCTGCTGCCCCTGGCGGTGAACATAGTAGACAGCGACACGGGCGAGTACCTCGGCTGCGGCCTCTTCCACTCGCGGCCCCTCATTGCAGCTCGAGTGCTTGAAGACTTGAGCCCCTCCACTGTTCTGAATTCAGATTTCCTGCAGCAAAAGCTGCGGGAAGCAGCAGCCCGCCGCCGGGGGCTGCCGCCTGCAGTGTTTCTGTCTTGTGCAGAATCTGCTGGGCCCCACCCAGGGGCTTTTCTTGAAGATCCGGGGGCCCGGGGCCCCCCACAGCAGCCAGTGCATGCAGCGCATGCACTGCATGCAGAGCCTCCTGGGGCTGTTCCCCGGGGCTTTTACCGATTGGTTAATGCGGAAAGTGACGGACTTCCTGGACTTGTCGTGGACCTTTTTGGAGCTGCAGTGTCTGTACAGCAGCTCACAAGAGGCAAGCAGCTCCTGCTCCCCGCAGCAGCGCCTGAAGGCAGCCCCAAGTTCCACACAAGAAACACCAGAGGGGCCCCTCTGGGGCTTTTGGGGGGCCCCGTAGGGGCTGCTGGGGCTTGCTGAGTTCCGAAGGAGCCCCTAGGGGGCCCCCTAGGGGCTGCTGGGGCCTGCTGAGTTCTACAGGGGCCCCCAGGGGGCCCCTCAGGGGGCCCCTCAGGGGCTTGTGGGGCTTGCTGACTTTCACAGGGACCCCCAGGGGGCCCCCCAGCGAGCCCCTCAGGGGGCCCCTCAGGCGCTGGTGGGGCTTGCTGAGTTTTAAAGGGGCCCCCAGGGGGCCCCTCAGGGGGCCCCTCAGGGGGCCCCGCAGGGGCTGGTGGGGCTAGGTGAGTTTGTGCGGCTGCGGGTGGTGCGTGCTGCAGGCAGCGAGCTGCTGACTGCACCTTTTGTTGCAGCTCTGCAGCAGCTGCTGCAGCCCGCAGCTGTGGTGCTGCGCAACGACAGCTTTCTGCGGCAGCTGGAGCGGGACCCTTCCATGAAGCAGTATGCTGCAGTTGTTGCTGGTGGGTAGGCCGATGCTGCTGCTGCAGCGGGGCTAGGGTTTAGGGTTTAGGGTTTAGGGTTTAGGGTTTAGGGTTTAGGGTTTTGTGGGCTTTGAGGCCTGCGCTCAGGGGAACTGTCCGGTTGGCAGTGGATAGAAGAAGGCGGCAGCGCCTTCCCCGTTGATTTGCTGAACAGTCCAGACACAGGTTGGTTAGATCTTTCTCATTTGATTCTTCTTTGCTTATTATTAATCACTTCTTTTTTAATTCTTTTCGAATTGAAGGGAAATGAAACTGGCGAAGTGCTTCTTTGACAGCACTTCCATAGGCAGCTCGTGGCTTACCAGTGGCTGTTACTGGCTAGCTGCTGCTAGTTCTGGATTTGTTTCTGCCTCTGACTAGCAACATGTGGCTAGATGGTTCGTTTGTTGTGGCGAGACGTCCTTGGCTAGTGTCTGTGGCTAGCTGCTTGCGGAGAGCTCCCTTTGGCTCGCTAGCCGTGGCTAGCTGGAGTGGCCAGCTGGCTGGCACGGCTAGCTGGCATGGCCAGCTAGCTGAGGTGGCTAGCCAGCACGACTAGCTACCTTGCATGGCAAGCTGGCGTGGCTAGCTAGCTGGAGCAGCACGCTGGCTAGACCAGCTAGCTGGCGTGACTAGCTAGCTGGCGCGACTAGCTAGCTGGCGTGAATAGCTGGTGGCGTGGCTAGCTGGCGACTAGCTAGCTGGTGTGGCTAGCTGGCGACTAGCTAGCTGGCGTAGCTAGCTGCGCTGCGCACTTTTGAATGCAGGCTGGTACTACGACCGGCGGGAGGTTCGGGAGGCCGTGGCTCAGCTCGCTCGTGGCTCGCGGGTGTTGGACCTCCACTGCCACTCCGCAGGTGCTGCTCCCGCAGCAGCAGCTCGAGGCTAGTTAGTACTTAGTGCTTTGCAGTCCAGCTAGCTGCTGCAGCTAGCTGCAGCAGCTAGCTGCAGCAGCTAGCTACGTGCGTCGAGTTCTTGGGGCCTGCTCAAGCTGCGCCGAGCGCGAGCCCTTCCTGCGGCCAAAAGGTAGCGGCTGCAAAATACGTAAAATGGTGCTGCTGCTGCTGCTGCTGCTGTGCTGCTGCTGCTGTGCTGGCTCGTGCTGCTGCAGCATTCAGCATCGGGGCGCTGCGGCGAGGAGGTGCTCAGAGATGTGTCGGTGTGGACGTTTCGGGTCTGTCTCTCGAGCTCGCAGCAGCAGCAGCAAAGAAGAACAATCTGCAGCAGCAGCTGCTGCTGCAGCAGGCTGACGCCCTCCAGTGGCTGCGGCACAGAGCGCGGCCCTCCCGGCCTTCTTGTCTAGACAAAGACGCAACAGCAACTGCAGAAGCAGCTGCTCCTGTGGAAGCAGCAGCTCAAGTTCCTGCAGGTAAGTCTCGCCTGCACTGCATTTCAGTTTTTCGTTTTAGTTTATTTGTTTCTGCATCCCACTCGTTTCTTTCGAAGGGAGTGGACCATTGGTCATCACCGCTGGTGCGCCTGCAGCGCCGTTTGCTGCTGCCTGCGGCTGCTAGTCTGGGTGCCTATGCTTTGCTGCTGCTGCTGCACCTCAGAAGCCCAGTTTGATATTGTCATTATGGACCCCCCTGCACCCCACAGACAGGGCTTGGTGCAAGCTTTCACTGCCGAGCTGCTGCAGCTGGCTGCTGCTGCTGCCAGAGTCCTTAGCAGCGGAGGGCGGCTGGTGGTCGTTGAGAGCAGCAGATTTCTAGAGCTGGAGCAGCTGCTGAACATCTTAAATGAAGCAGTTTCAGCTGCAGGCAGAACCGGTGAGCCACAGCTAGCTAGGCAGCTAGCCACCCAGCTAGCCAGCCCTACAGCTACCGCGCACTCTAGCAAGAACTGGCAGACTGTGTTCGCTACGGCAGCTCCTCTCTTTCAATTCGCAGCAGCAGCAGCGCACGCTGCCTTTTTGGCTAGGCAGACCGGAATTGGACCATTGGTCCACTGGCCGCCCTCAGCAGCAGCAACAGCCACTCTGCTGCGCTGCGCTGCAGCCGCCCTCGAAATGCACGGGGGCCCCACTCTGGACTGCCCGCAAGACCTGCGCACTCAGGGCATCACGGGGATGAAGTGGGTGATCTTGCAGCTTTCTTAGGTGAACTTGTGCACAAGAATTGCCAATTCGTGAATTAAACATGAATAAATGCTTCAGAAGACTGCGCAGTAGACTGTGTGGCTCATGCACGAGGGAAGCTGCAGCGAGAGGCCGGCTTGCCCGCGGGTAGCGGATCGGCTGACCCGCACTTTTCATGTTTCTGTTGCAACTCCGAACAAACTCTTTGGAAGATAAAGTCCTTTTTGATTGTTCTCCCTTTGCGAACTCAAGAATGGCGACATCAAGTGCATGCACAAAGCACAGGTAATACACAACTGGCCGGCGCTTTCGTCTTCACCCAGAAACGACCGAAAGATGTTTCCAGCAAATGCAGCTTTCACAGGTCTCGCCGCAGGAGGCACTTGTGATGCATGCATGCAAATTTGTCGCCAAAGCACATGTATTCCATGAGTTTTCTCCCAATGAAAAACAAAACAAAAGATTTTCCTTTTCCATTAAGTACCTTCACTTCGTATTCCGCAACGCAAAGGTCGGTGCAAACACAAGCAGTGCAACCTGGCTCTTCCCGCTTCTTAAGATACGCAGCTCTGCGGAAAATGCACTTTTTATGTCCAATATATTATAAAGATACTACAAGGAAACATTATAAACATTCTACAAGGAACATAAACAGCTGCACAGGATGGCGTGGGAGGTGTTACTCCATCGGAGGCGGCCTAACTAGGCTCCCCAGAGCGCCTTCTGGAGCATGCAGCTTCCCGATTTCTTTCCATTTCGAGAACTCATGATGCTTCTAAGCAACAGAGTTCCAAAAGCAGAGAAGTCCTGCGAAAAGTCGGCTGAAGGGGCCAGGAGAACCCGCCCATTTCATCTTTTGGTGGCTGGTTTCCACTTTGCTCGACTAACCTTTATTGTCTGAGTGGGGCTGCTGATTAGCGGAAGTGCTGCACAGCCTAAAAGTGCACAAACCACCAAAGATGGCGGAACACACTGCTCGCTGTTGGCTGGCTGGCGAGCTTTTCAAAACAAGCCGAGCAGCGAGAGAGCAGCAGCAGCAGCAGCAGCTTCTTTCCAGAATAGTTCCGGCGAAGCAGCGAAAGCAAAGAAGTAGTGCAGAAGTGCTGCAGCTGGCTCTGGAGTTCAAACCAAGCAGTTCAACGGCCAGCGCTAGGCGTGTGCAGTGTCTTGCTGGAACAGCTGAGTTCCCCGGCTGAACGGTCTTCGGGAAAAGTTTTGCGAGTTGCTTTTTCAAGTTAATTGTCGTGGAAAGTGCAGGAGCGCGGGAAACCCGCAGAAGACCGCGGGGGAAACGAACTAGCCAGCGGTCTGCTGCAGCCGCCGCAGGCGGGCTGCGCTGGAAGATCTGGCCCCGGAGTTAGGGCCCTCTTGAGCTTTTCTTGCGAATTCTTTCGGAAAAAAGGAGATGGAAAGCTGAAGTGTGGAAAGGAGCGCGGCGACGCGGCGTGGAGGAGTCGCGATGGAGGAGGGAAGCAGCGGGGTTTGCGTGCAGGTTTCGAGAGGATCTGAGTTTCCTTCGACTGAATTGTTTTGCATTCAGTGATTTTCTTTTGTTTTTCGCATTTTGCCTCTCCGAAAGGCGGAAAAAGGCGTCTTGAACTTGCTGATCAGCAGCGGGAGCGGGGCTGCCTCCAGCCTTACGCGGCACTCACCGCCCGCTGCAGCGCCGCCGCCGCCGCATCGCCAGTTTCCACAGTTTGTTCGAACTCATTTTTGCAATTTTTTCCTTTGCGCAGCGCCTTTCAAGAAGGCGGGGCGCCGCACCTCAGCAGTGTGGCTGTGAGTCACTCAAGCTGCGCCGAGGCAGACAACCCGCTGCAGTGTTCCTGTGCGCAGCTGCGGCCAGGCGCAGCGCGAGACGCCGCAGCAGCTTCTTAAGGGTCTTTTTAGGCAGCAGTGGAGCTTTGTGGGGCACTCGAAGCAGCAAAAAGGCCGCTGCGCGCAGCAGGGGGACGGGAGCAGCGCAGCAGCTTCCCAACTGCAGCAGATGGAACCCCTGCGAGCCGGCGCTCTGTAGGCTGCTGCTGCTTCTCTTCCCAGTTGCTGCACCCAAGGGGCTTCCAGGGGGGGCTTTGGCCGGCGCAGCGGCGCCGCTTTCTCGCCTTCGCCGGCCTGCTGCTGCGGCGCTGCTGCAGTGCTGCTGCTGCAGCGCTGCTGCAGTGCTGCTGCTGCAGCGCCGCTGCTGCGGCCCGTGCGCAGCTCCTCCTGCGTTTGCTGCAGCAGCAGATCCTGGCCAACTCCTCCTCTTCGCGCTCGGGAACAGCCGCGGCCTCTCGCTCGCGCTATGGGAGTTTCTGTCCCACCGTCTTCCGCCGTCGCTCCCGCTGCTGCTGCTGCTGCTGCTGCTGCTGCTGCTGCTGCTGCTGCAGCTGGCGAATCCGCTGCTGCAGGGGAAGGCGCTGGTGCACTACAGCTCGTACTCGCCGCAGCACGTGACGAACGCCGTGCTGCTGCTGTGCAGCTTTCTCGTTGCTGCAGCAGCAAAGTCTCCAGATGAAGCTCTTGAGCCTTTTTTAAAAACAAATATTTATTTAGCTTCTTACAGAGACGCCACTTACTCGCAGTGCAGCTTCCGCCTCACAGTGCTGGACTGCCTGCAGGGGCTCGCCTACGCCATGCAGGTCCGCTAAAGTCTTCTAAATTCTTCTAAATTCTTCTAAATTATTCTAAATTGTTTTAAATTATTCAAAATTATTCAAAATTATTCAAAAATAATTTAAAATTGTTCCGAAATTCGCAAAAATTGGCCAAAAATGTTCCAAAATGTTCAAAATTTTCCTAAGTGAAGCTGCGCGCGCGGCGGCTGCGCGCGCCGGACGCGTGCGCCAGGGTTTAGGGTTTAGGGTTTAGGGTTTGCTGCTGCTGCTGCTGCTGCTGCTGCTGCTGCAGCTGGGGTGGTTCAGCCTGTCTTCTTTCAACCACGCCCAGTATGAACACTACGAAAGACTGGAAAATGGAGATATGAGTTGGGTAATTCCTGGAAAGTTTTTGGCATTTAGCTGCCCCTCAGTAGGTGCTGCTGCGATGTGCCCGCGGCGCAGCAGCGACTGCAGCAGCAGCAGCAGCAGCGGCAGCAGCAGCAGCGGCAGCAACGGCGGCTGCAACCCCTCCTACTATGTCCGCGTCTTCAAAAAACTTAACATCAAACTTGTCATTCGACTTAACAAAAAAATGTACGACTCTGAAGTCTTCAAGGAGGCGGGCATAGACCACCAAGACCTTTTCTTCGTCGACGGCACCTGTCCCCCCAGGTCCCCAAACCCTAAACCCTAAACCCTAAACCCTAAACCCTAGTTAGCGCCGGGCCCCGAGCAGCGGCGCCTGCAGCAGCTGCTCGCCCGCGACCAGCAGGCGAGGGAGTGGGGGGCCAACGCGGGAGGCTTTGCGCGTTCGCCTCTAGGGTTTAGGGTTTAGGGTTTAGGGTTTAGGGTTTAGGGTTTAGGGTTTGCTGCAGAGATATTATGGACAAGTTTTTGAAGCTTTGCGAAGCATGCGACGGCGCGGTGGCTGTACACTGCAAAGCCGGGCTTGGCCGGACAGGCTCTCTGATAGGCTGTTACGCAATCAAAAACCACAAGTATTTAAACCCTAAACCCTAAACCCTAAACCCTAAACCCTGATTCGCGAGCCGGCTCGTCCGCAGCGCAGCGCACATGCAGCACGCTGGGGCTGAGGTGTACGTACACCCGAAGCTTGCTGCTGCTGCTTGTGGTGTACGTACAACCGAAGCTTGCTGCTGCTGCTTGGGGTGTACGTACACCCGAAGCTTGCTGCTGCTGCTTGTGGTGTACGTACACCCGAAGCTTGCTGCTGCTGCTTTTGCTTTCAGATTTCCAGCACTTCCTTGGATTGGTTGGAACAGAATTTGCCGGCCAGGAAGCGTCTTGGGTCCCCAGCAATACTTTTTGTGTGCCATTGAAGTGAGGAGGAAGGGTTTAGGGTTTAGGGTTTAGGGTTTAGGGTTTAGGGTTTAGGGTCTGGGGTTTGGGCTTCCCTGCGAGCAGCGACGCTGCTGCGGCTCTGCAGCAGCGCCGCTGCGGCGCTGCTGCGGCGCTTCTGCGCTGCTGCTGCGCTGCTGCTGCGCTGCTGCTGCGGCTGCTGCTGCAATGCTGCTGCTGCGCTGCTGCTGCTGCTGCTGCTGCAGCGTCTCTGTTTGCTTCTTTGCTGCTGCTGCAGAATGAACTCATGAAAAGAGAAGCAGCTCCAGGCTGTCCGGCGGTGCGGCACCGCCCGCGAGAAAGAGTGTCAGAAGACGCGGAGCTCGAGACTCTGGCCCTCAGCATGAAGGTCCCTAAACCCTAAACCCTAAACCCTAAACCCTAAACCCTCAGCTCTAGAGCTCAGTGCCTAGGCGGTAGAGTGATGGGGGGTTGCGCTCGGGGCACGAGGAGTTATTTGCTGGTGTTCAGGGTTTCAGGTTCGGGGTTTAGGGTTTAGGGTTTAGGGTGTAGGGTTTAGGGTTTAGGGTTTAGGGTTTAGGGTTTGGGCCCGCGCAGGACATGCAACTTGAAGACAGGCGAATTGCGCAGCAGGGAGACGAGGGACAGGGCGATCGGCTTATGGAGGCAAAGAGGTGCGCTAAACCCTAAACCCTAAACCCTAAACCCTAACCCCTTGAGTCTTAGAGCTACAGGCTGAGAAAAGGGGCCTTTGCTGCGTTCAACGAAGCCCGTATCAGTTGCTAGGGTTTAGGGTTTAGGGTTTAGGGTTTAGGGTTTAGAGCCGTGTCTTGCACAGAAGGTCGAAGCCAGCACTGGGCTGCAGCGCGAACGGCGAGGCATCGCAGGAGCCCCTAGATGAGAGGCCTGCTCTCCGCAGTGATTCTGCTGCTGCTGCTGCTGCTGCTGCTGCTGCTGCTGCTGCTGCTGCTGCTGGGGATTTGTCCACCTCCTCCCGCTTCGACGCAATAGTGCGCAGCAAAATTGCGGGGCCGCTGGTGCCCTCGTTTGCAGCAGGCGCAGCAAGTGGCCGGAAAGGCGGCAGCAGCTGCCACGGGCCTGCTGCAGCAGCAGCAGCAGCAGCAGCAGCAGCAGCAGCAGCAGGGGGCCCCTCCTCCGGCATGTGCGTCGCTTCCTCCTGTAGGCCCGCTGGAAGCAGATCCCGAAATGATGTCTAGTAAAGGGCTTTACTTTTTAAGCTGGTCGAGCCGAGCTGCAGCACGCCCTCACTCTGCTGCTGCTGCTGCTGCTGCTGCTGCTGCTGCTGCTGCATGCATGCAGCAGTGCATGCATTTGCTGCGACGCAGCGACGCAGAAGAAAGGGAAGCCGCTCGAGGCCCGATGAGTGTGGGGCTTTACAGACAGTGGGCGCTGGGGTGTATGTACACTTCAGCACAATTAACTTTTTGCTAAACGCTCTCAGGGGTCTTACTAGAAGCAAAAAAGCCCCTGCTGCAGTCCAACTGTACTCCCTACAAAGTCCCATGCATGCATGCATGCATGCATGCATGCAGCAGCGGCCCCCAAGCTGCGCTGCACAGGGCTCAAAACGCATTGTTTCTTTTTATCTTTAGTGTGCGCTGGGCTGCAGGGCCTTCTGCGCATGCACACTCTTTGAGGCTACACAGAAAGTCGCAGCGAATCTCCCCAAACAAGAAAGCCCCTAAGGGGCCCCCAGGGGGGCCCCCCTGGGGGCCCCCAAGGGGCCCCCAGGGGGGCCGCTGGGGTCCTCAGGGGGCCCCCAGGGGGGCCCCCGGGGAGCAACGGGGATCCCCAGGGGGCCCGCTGGGGACCTCAGGGGGCCCCCAGGAGGGCCCCAGGGGAGCAACGGGGGCCCCCAGAGGGGCCCCTGGGGAGCTCAGGGGGCCCCCAAGGGGGCCCCTAGGGAGCTCCGGGGGGCCCCTGGGGGCCCCCCGGAGCTCCCTAGGGGGGCCCCTGGGGGCCCCTGGGGGCCCCTGGGGAAGCCCCGGAGGAGGCGCTAAGGGGGCCTCTGAGGAGCCCCGGCGGGCCCCCAAAGCTCCCCGGGGGCCCCCAAAGGGGCCCCAGGGGAGCTTTGGGGGGCCCCTGGGGATGTACCAGTGGGGGCCCCATGATCCATTGGAGGGCCCCGGGGGGCCCCGGGGGGCCCCAAGGGGGCCCCCGGGGGGCCCCCGGGGGCCCCCTGGGGGCCCCTAAGGGTACTTCCGTAGAAGTTGCTGCCAGGAAGTAGCACAGAGAACAGGTTTTTTCCAGGATAGGGCCCCCGGGAGTGCGCAGCAAATGGGTGGGGGTGCTGCAGCAGCAGCAGCAGCAGCAAACACCCCGGCAGGTGGCTGCTGTTGCAGCAGCAGCAGCAGCAGCAAACGCGCCGACGGGTGCCTGCTGCAGCAGCAGCAGCAAACGCACCGGCAGCTGGCTGCTGCAGCAGCAGCAGGCAGCTGCCGATACACCGCAACTTACACTTCTCTAAACGTACTCATCGAAACCCTAAAAAGGGTTTTTGAGAGGGTTTGTTGTGGCGGGGTCTAGGGTTTAGGATCTAGGGTTTAGAGCTAGGGTTTGGAGCTAGGGTTTAGGAGCTAGGGTTTGGAGCTAGGGTTTAGGAGCTAGGGTTTAGGATCTAGGGTTTGGATCTAGGGTTTGGAGCTAGGGTTTAGGAGCTAGGGTTTAGCAGCTAGGGTTTAGGATCTAGGGTTTGGATCTAGGGTTTGGATCTAGGGTTTGGAGCTAGGGTTTGGAGCTAGGGTTTAGGATCTAGGGTTTAGGAGCTAGGGTTTGGAGCTAGGGTTTGGAGCTAGGGTTTAGGAGCTAGGGTTTGGAGCTAGGGTTTAGGAGCTAGGGTTTGGAGCAAGGTTTTGAGGCAGCAGCAGTGGCAGTTCCGCAGCTAGTGCGGGCTGGCCAGACGGCTCAGAGCCTAGGGTTTAGGGTTTAGGGTTTAGGGTTTAGGGTTTGGTCAAGGACGCAGAATTCGTTTGCGCAGCTTTCCAATGCGCAGCTCCGCAGAAGTCTCGAGGTGGCTTTCCGCAATTAGCGAAAGGCAGCAAAGATATCTTTCCACAGTCCCCACTCCCCTGCAGCAGCAGCAAAGTCCAATAATTCAATTGCAGCAGCAGTAGCAGCGGCAGCCATTGCTGTAGCAGCAGCAACAGCAGCAGCAGCAGCAGCAAGTGTTGCTGCAGCAGCAGCAGCAGCAGCAGCAGCAGCAGCGTGTAGCGCACCTAGCTCAGCGTCGCGGTAAAGCTGGTAAGTCCGCAGCTGATGCGTAGATGTGTCCCGCAGCTGCACTTCACGGCGGCTGCTGCTGCAGGCGAATTCGTAAGCCAAGTACTCGCAGCAGCAGCAGCAGCAGCAGCAGCAGCAGCAGCAGCAGCAAACCAAGTCCTCTCACGCCGCGTTCGGTCTGAGTCCAGTCGTCGAAGCAATTCGAATGCCAGCAGAGGGACGACCTGCGAGCAGGCGGTTGCATGCGCTTGAATGCATGCACAGATCTGCTGCTGCTGCTGCTGCTGCAGCAAAACAGCAGCAGCAGCAGCAGCAGCAGCAGCAGCAGCAGCAGCCTTACAGATTGGGACTAAGAGGCGTCGCTGGGTGCGTTCTTGTGGACTGCTGCAGGGCTCGTGAGTCCTGAGAAAGTTTATTTAAAAAATGAAAAAAGACTTTTTCCATTTTAGTTTATTTTTAAAAAATGAAAAAAAGTATTTTTGAAATTTAAAGCTCCAACTTCAAAGTGCATGCGTACCGCGCAGACGTCACACTGACCATGGAGCGGAGGGCCCACTGCTGCTGCTGCTGCTGCTGCTGCTGGTGCTGCTGCTGCTGCTGCTGCTGCTGCTGCTGCTGCTGCTGCTGCTGATCAAGGGCGACATACAGCTCGGATGCGGTACTGGGAAGGGCGGCGATGAGTTCAAGGAAAGTGCAGCAACAGCAGCAGCAGCAGCAGCAGTAGCAGCAGCAGCAGCAGCAGCAGCAGCAGCTTACCTCGAGCATTGGCTAGCTTCGGGGTCGCTGTACATGTTGTGTAAGTGGCTTTGAGAATCTTCTAGGGCCCCAGGAGTCTGCCTGTGAGGCTCTTCAGGGGCCCATTCTTCTGCTGCTGCTGCTTCTGCTGCTGCTGCTTCTGCTGCTGCTGCTGCTTCCCCACATTCTGAGGGGGAACTGCTGCAGCAGCTGCTGCACCTGCGCTTGGGGGGCCCCTGGGGGGCCCCCAGCGCTTCGCCGTGGCTCTGCCACATTTGCAGCTTCGTCAGCTTCTGGCGAATCCGCGAAAGCAGCTCCCGCACTTCGGACTCTTGCTGCTTCCAGTCCACTGCAGAAACCCAACTCCGAGCATTTTCCAAAGCTCTGAAGTAAGGAGAAGGCAAAAAGAAGCTTTCTGCCATTCTGGCTGGTTCTCAAGAAGCTGCTGCTCACGCGGTGCAGCAGCAGCAGCGCCAGCAGCAGCAGCCGAAACGAATTCAAGTTGGGAAACAAAGTCTTTTTCTGAAGCGATCAGCCGGGAAAAACGGAAATATTTACTATTTTCAACAGATATGCGGGAGAAAAAACAAATTTCGTGCAAGTTTTATCCAGGAAAGTTCTTCTGGGAAACAGTGAAACCTGCAAGGCGGAACTCCGCGGTTTCTGGTGTACGTAAGCCGCGGCGCTGCAGAAGTTCCCGAGGCAAAATCGACGAATTTTGGCTTGAAATAAAGGGAAATAGAATCAAAATAAATAAATAAATAATTAAAAATATTAGACAAGTTTGATCAGAGCATTTCCTGGCTTTGTTGCTCTCCGCAATGTTGAATTCAGCATTCGCCGCCGCGCCTGAACAGACCAGCTCACCAGTGGAATGCAGCGCCGCTGCGCAGCAACTGGACGCCAAATTTCTCCCAAACTTCTTTAACTTTCTGCGTTTTTGAAATATTAAATCAAAAGAAAAAACCGAAGACAAAAATACTCCATTTTGTTCTTCTCTGGCGACCGTCGATGGCAGCGGAGGGGCCCCCTGCAGGCGCTCGAGGCGGGAGGGGCCCCCCTCGCTGCCGATTCCTCTGCGCCAGTGGCTTTCCCGCGGGAAAGTCTGGACAATTTCCATTTGAATTATTTATTTAAATGCTAAATTACATTTTTAATTATTTCGAAGCAAGAAATGAGTCTTGAAATGATATTCTGAACTCCCTGAGGCGCTGATCTGGCTGTCTTTGGGATGTGCCGGCTGCTGCTGCGCAGCTCTTGGCCCCAAATTGCCCTTCCACTTTGTTCAAATTCACCTTTTCGGGGGCCCGCTGCTGCTGCTGCTGCTGCTGCTTCTGCTGCTGCTGCTGCTGCATGCAGCGCTCTGCAGCAGCACCCCCAGCCATTTTACCCGCAGCAGCGCTGCAGCCCGCAGCAGCAGCGTGGGCACTTGCTGCGGTCCCTGTGTAGTGCTGCAGGAGGCCGCTGGAATCAGCACAGCCACCAGCAGCAGCAGCAGCAGCAGCAGCAGCAGCAGCAGCAGCAGCAGCAGGGGCGGAAGGTGTGCGTAGAGTCTGTTCTCCGGGCCTTCAACCTCGAGGGCCTCGAGGCCCACAAAGCCTCGTGGGCCCAGCTGGGCCTCCTGGGGGCCCTCAGGCTCTCTGGGGGGCCCCCCAGAGGGCCTGGGGGCCCCCAGGAGGCCCAGCAGGGGGGCCCCCCCCGAGGGCCTGGGGGCCCCCAGGAGGCCCAGCAGGGGGGCCCCCCCCGGGGGCCTGGGGGCCCCCCGGAGGCCCAGGGGGGGGCCCCCAGCCAGCAGTTCTATGGGGGCCCCCGCAGGGAGCGTTTGCTGTTCTTGGTGGCGCAGCAAGAAGCAGCAAAGCTGTGGTGAGTTTATACTTTTCCTTTTGCTGCTGCTTGCTGCTGCTTGCTGCTGCTTGCTGCTGCTTGCTGCTGCTTGCTGCTGCCTTGCTGCTGCGCGCGGTGTACGTACACCCCAGCAGCTGCGCAGGTGTACGTACACCCCACGCTGCGGGCCTGCAGGGCAGCAGCACTTGCTGCGCTGCATGCAGCAGGGCTGCGTTTGCTGCTGGGAGTTGATTTAGAATGGAGTCCTGCTGCTGCTGCTGTGCAGCAGCAGCAGCAGCAGCAGCAGCAGCAAGCGGGGGCTGCAGCAGCAGCACCTCGAGTGGCGCTGCTGCAGCTGTGCGTAGAAAGGCAGCAGCAAGGAGATGAGTGGCCCCCCTGCAGCGAAGCAGCAGCAGACGAAACTCCCCTTCCAGCAGCAGCAGCAGCAGCAGCAGCAGCAGCAGCAGCGTGTGTATCTGCGGAAGCAGGAGCTTCTGCTGCAGCAAAGCAGAATGCTGCGCTGCTGCATGCAGCAGCAGCTGCTGCTGATCTTGGCTTTGTGCTGCTGCTGGATTTGGCTGAAGAGGCGCAGCAAATCATGGAGCATCTCAAGCCGCTGCTGGAAGACCCCAAGCTGCCTAAAGTTGTAAACCCTAAACCCTAAACCCTAAACCCTAGAAGGGAGGTTTGGGACTTCAGCAAATTCTCTGTGGGCCTGCTGCTGTTGTTCAGGTTCCTCTTTTATCTCTCGCCTTATTTATCATTTATTTATTATTTATTTATTTATTTATTTATTTATTTATTTATTTATTTATTTATTTATTTATTTATTTATTTAGGGTTTAGGGTTTAGGGTTTAGGGTCTATGGGAGCGGCAATCTGCGCTGCAGCTTTTCTGATTTTTGATTTGCTGCGTCACTTCTCTTTCTTTTTTCAATAATTCCATTTTAATTACTTTAATTAATTTAATTTAATTAAATTAATTAAATTTAATTTAATTAATTTAATTTAATTTAATTAATTAAATTAAATTGAATTTAATTAATTTAATTAAATTAATTAAATTTAACTATATTAAATTAATTATTTTAATTATTTTAATTTTGCAGATTCATGACTGCCGAGAAGACAGCGCCATTTTGTTTTCAACTTTCGGCATTTATTTGAAAGGCGTTTTCGACTCTGCGGTGAAAACTTCAAAACAATTAAATTAAATTAATTAAATAAATTAAATTAATTAAATTAAATTAATTAAATTAAATTAATTAAATTAAATTAATTAAATTAAATTAATTAAATTAAATCAATTAAATCAAATTAATTTAAATAATTCAAAATAATTAATTCAAATAATGGCTTCAAGCGGCAAATGAAATCTGTAGACTTCTAGACTTGCATGCAGTCGTGTGTTAGTTTTGCTGCCAGCAGCAGCAGCAGCAGCAGCAGCAGCAGCAGCAGCTGCTGCTGCTGCTGCTGCTGCTGCTGCTGCTACAGCTTGGCGCAGCGAGCGCAGCTGTTTAGACTTGACCTATGTGGACTGAGCAAAGGCGGGAAATATAAATAAATAAATAAATAATTAATTAATTAAAAAAAGAAATAAATAAAAATCAAATAATGCTTTTTGCTGCTGCAGGCAGCAGCAAAGAAATAAATGAAAAACAAATTTTGCTTTTTGCTGCTGCAGGCAGCAGCACAAGTGCTGCAGCTGTCGAGGGGCTCTGAAGTCTTTCAGCAAAATTTAAATGACTTGCTTTTGGAGCGGCTCAGAGTGGCGTCAGCCACCCCTAAACCCTAAACCCTAAACCCTAAACCCTAAACCCTAAACCCTAAACCCTAGGCCCTGGGGGCTCCCGCGGCTCCTTGCTGCAGCACAAACCCTAGCTTTTGTGGCAGCATTTAATTTGCTGCTGATCCTTTGCGTTCGCGGCCACGCAGCACTCAGTGCAAATTCAAAGAAAAATTCAAAACAAAAATGGAAAAAAACTATTTTTTAAATTAAAATTAAAATTAAAAAATAAATTTGCTGCTTTTATTTTCAGAAATCCTTTTAAAAACAAAACTGCTGCGCTGCTGAGGCGGGACCCTTCGCTGTGGCTCGCGCGGCCCCTCAGCCAGGTGTACAGACACAGCATGCAGCAGCAGCAGCAGCAGCAGCAGCAGCAGCAGCGGCAGCAGCAGGAGTTGCTGCTGCTGCCGCTGCACTTTAGGGCCGAAGGGATGTAGGGGGGTTCATAGGTAGTGCTGGCGGCGGCGGCGAAAGCAGCAGCAGCAGCAGCTGCTGCTGTTGCTGCGCGCGCTGCTGCTGCTGCTGCTGCAGCTGCTGCAGCTGCAGCAGCTGCTGCGGCAGCCGCTGCAGCGGGGCAGCAGAAGCAGCTAAATGCATGCGTTCGTTTGGGGCTGCATGCATGCAGATGCTGCTAAAATATGCTGTCTTTGACGTGCTGCACTTGCCTGCGGCCAGCCGTTGCCTGCGTTTTTCTATGAGTAAGCATTTCTGTCTGCAGCAGCAGCAGCAGCAGCAGCAGCAGCAGCAATAGCAGCAGCAGCAATAGCAGCAGCAGCTGCTAATTTGTTGCAGTTGCATGCATTGGAACACCGCGGGCAGCCTGCGGCACTCCCAGCTGTACGTACACCCCAGCTCCCCCTGCTGCTGCTGCTGCTGCTGCTGCTGCGCTGCTGCAGCAAAGGAGCAGCAGGTGGAATGCGCCCGCTGGAGCAGCAGACACGTCGACTACTGCCTCCTCAACCGCCAAAGAAGCCCCCAGCAGCAGCAGCAGCAGCAGCAGCAGCAGCAGCAGCAGCAGCAGCAGGGGCAGGCAGTTGCCACTCATCCCGGAAGCGAAATTGAAGGAATTGTTGCTGCTGCATGCAGCTCGAAATTAATAATTAAAATAAACACGGGAGACCCCCAAGTTGTTGCTGTTGCTGATGCAGCAGAGGCTGCTGCTTGCCTCAACAGGACGCGTCAGCAAACCCTAAACCCTAAACCCTAAACCCTAAACCCTAAACCCTAGCGGGCGGATCTGCAGCACCGGCTGCTGCAGCTGCCTCCGCCGCAAAAAGGAAAAATGCAGTTGGAAAGAATTAATTCAAAATGGCATTAATGGCAATAAAAGCTGCGAGCAGCAGCAGCAGCAGCAGCAGCAGCAGCATGGCAACAATGGCAAAAAACGCCAGAGTAATAATATGAAAGTGAATGCTAATAATAATAATAATAATAATAATAATGATAATAATAATAATAATAATAATGATAATAACAACAATAATAATACTAATAATAATAATAATAATAATAATAATAATAATAATAATACTAATAATAATAATAATACTAATAATACTAATAGTAATGATAATAATAATAATACCAATAATAATAATGCTAATAATAATAATAATAATAATAGTAATAATAATAAATTAATAAAAATAATAATAATAATAATAATAATTATTATTATTATTATTATTATTATTATTATTGTAATAAATAATAATAATAATGAAATGTTTCAATTTGCTGCTCGCAGCAAAAGTGGGAGACAAACTGAGGCTTCTCGTCAAGGCCAAAAGAGCCCGCAGCAAGGCAATTCTAGTGGGCGTCTTGCCCCCATAGCAGCAGCAGCAGCAGCAGCAGCAGCAGCAGCAGCAGCAGCTGCTGCTGCTGCTGCTGCTGCTGCTGCTTGAGGCGCGTAAGCAACAGCCGGGAGGGAGGCAGCTGCAGCGACAAGGCGCGACCTGCTGCTGCAGTAGCTGCTGCAACAGCAGCAGCTGCAACAGCAACGCGGGGAAGAGCCTAGCTCGGCCTAGGGTTTAGGGTTTAGGGTTTAGGGTTTAGGCCATTGGGGGGGCTTATGCCGGGGCGCACTTTGAGGGCCTCTTCTTCTTCCATTAACAAATTTTCTGCCTGCGGATCAAAGGCCAAAATGCATTTAAATGAAACAAAAATGTTTATTTATCAAAGTGAAAAACATTAAAATTAAATAAAATGTTTTTGCATTTCTTTAATTCGTTTTTCTGCTGCGCGGCGGCTGCGCTGGGGTGTATAGACAGCTCGCCTGACGCTTCGCCGGCTTCGCAATGAAGAGCCATCCGCCTCTTTCTGGCTGCAAAAAAGAAAATAAAAATAAAAATAAATAAATAAATAAATAAATAAATAAATAAATAAATAAATAATAAATAAATAAATAAATAAATGCATTTAATTGCCAAAAGTATTTCGTTTGGGGTTGGTTTGGCTCGTTTTGCTGCAGCAGCAAGTGGCGTTCAGTTGCTGCAGTGGTTTTAAATGCGGAGAAGAAATAAAATAAAGTAAAACCATAAATTGCATTTAATTATATAAATAAAATAAAATAAAATAAAATAAAATAAAATAAAACAAAACAATAAACTGCATTTACTTGTTTCAAATGTTTATTTATTTTTTAGTCGCGGACGGCGGGGTGTACGTACACCCCAGCAGCAGCGGGGTGTACGTACACCCCAGCAGCTGCGGCGCTGCAGCAGCAAAGACTTCTCTTTAGTTTTCTTTTTGAAAAGTAAACAAATATATTTGTAATACTTTGCATAAATAATAAACATTTATAAAAAACTAAACAAATATATTTATGATTAGATAGATAATCCATAAATATTATGCCCCTTTTTAGTTTAAAAAAGAAATTTATTTATTTTGTAATTTTTAAATTAATTTTTTCTTTTTTCCTTTTTCTCGGACCCTCTGCAGTGTACATACACCGCATTTATCTGCTTTTCTTTCTAAATTCTTTTTTATTTTTATTTTTATTTCTTTTTTTATCTCACCGGCTGCAGCAGCAACTCGGGGGACTTCAGCAGCAGCTCGTTCGTCTCCAGCAGCTCCCCTGGCGCAGCAGCAGCAGCAGCAGCAGCAGCAGCAGCAGCAGCAGCAGAATCAAATTTCCTTTTTCAAAGGGCAAAAAATAAAAGAATTAAGCTACTTAGACATTTTGCTGCTGCTGCTGCTTCTGCTGGTTTTGCTGCTTTTGCTTCTGCAGCTGCTGCTGCTGCTTTTGCTGGTGCTGCTACTACTGCTGCTGCTTGTGCTGCTGCTGCTGCTGCTTTTGCTGCTGCTGCTGCTTCTGATGCTGCTGCAGCTTCTTCGCGAAGCAGCTGCTGCTGCTCTAAGTGGCAAATTCCTGCCCCCCACTTTGTGTTCTTTTAATTAATTTGTCGAATTAAATTTATTTATTGTTTTTACTTTATTGTTTTATTTTATTATTTTTATTTTATTATTTTTATTTTTATTTTTATTTTAAAAAAACTTTCTTAATGACCCACCTGCTACACACCCAAATATATCCGCTTGTACCTCCGGGGGGCCCCCATTGTGTGCAGCGCAGCAACTTTGCTGCTGCTGCTGCTGCTGCTGCTGCTGCTGCTGCTGCTGCTTCTGCTGCTGCTGCTGCTGCTGCTGCTGCAGGGTGATGGTGCCTAAGCGCATGCGCGGGTGCAGCTGGAGGGCCCCTCTTTTTCTTTTTCCAGAAGCTGCGGAGTTGAGGACTTCAGTTTTGAAATTAATTTTAAAAATATTTTTTTCTTTTTTTTCAAAATTCTTTTTTTCTTCTCTTTCCTCTTTTTCTCCAAGAGATGAGGAGTCCAGCAAGGGGTTTGGGCTCTCCGCTGCTGCTGCTGCTGCTGCTGCTGCTGCTGCTGCTGCTGCTGCTGCTGCTGCTGCTTCTGCTGCTGCTGCTGCTGCTGCTGCTGTTCCCGCTGCTGCTTCTGCTGCTGCTGCTGCTGTTCCCGCTGCTGCTTCTGCTGCTGCTGCTGCTTCTGTCGGTCGTCCCGCCGCCGCTGCTGTTACTGCTGCCTGTCCTGCTTCTGCTGCTGCTGCTGTCGCTGCTGCTGCTGCTGCTGCTGCTGCTGCGTCTGGCGCTGCAGCAGCAGCTACATTTGAGTTAAAAGTATTTTGGATTTCTTTTTTATTTTTTTCTTTTTCTGAAGAAGCTCGAAAGGCCGCCAGCAAGAAATGGGACTGGGCTAAGGCAACAACCATGAGGCTGCAGAAATAAATATTTAATTCAAATAATTAAATTAATTAATTAAATAATATTTTTTAAATTTAATTAAAATATTATTTTAATTAAAAAATAATAATAATGGAGTTGTTTAAATTCAATTCGAAAATATATCACTAGTTCCAGAAGAAAGCGGAAAAAACAGGACAGCTACGCGTTGATCTGCGCTGCTGCTGCTGCTGCTGCTGCTGCTGCTGCTGCTGTTGCTGCTGCTGCTGCTGCTGCTGCTGCTAGAAGGCCATTTGTCTTTGTGTCTCAAGAAGCCCAAAGGAGGAACAACAAACAAAAGGAAGCATTCTAAGGAAACAAACAAACCTCGAGTTGCCCTTCTAAACCCTAAACCCTAAACCCTAAACCCTAAACCCTAAACCCTAAACCCTAAACCCTTCTCACCCGTTCTGGTGTACGTACACCGCGAAGTCCGCGTTGCTTTTGTTGTTTGCATTTAATAAAAACTTTACTTTGCAATATCTTTTTGTCACTGAGGGCAGCAGCAAACCCCAGCAGCAAAAGGGGGCCCCCCGCAGCTGCTGCTGCTGCGCTGCAGACACAAACCCTATGCTTTGCAGCTCCTGCAGCAGCAGCCCCTTAAACTTCTCCAAGGGGGGCCCCCCGGGTTGGGGGGCCCCCTCGGGCTGGGGGCCCCCGGGGGGCCCCCCACACTTGGGGGGCCCCCCGGGGTGGGGGGGCCCCTCCGCTTGGGGGGGGCTCCCGGGCTGCTGCAGCTGCTGCTGCTGCTGCTGCTGCTGCTGCTGCAGCTGCTGCCGCTGCTGCTGCTGCTGCTGCTGCTGCAGGGGGCCCTCCCCAGCCCCGCTTGCTGCTGCTGGGGGCCCCTGGGGGGCCCCCAAGGGCTGGGGGGGGCCCCCTAACTCGGAGGCCCCCCAAACTTCTCTTAGAGTTGCTGCTGCATCTTGGCCTTCTTGGAGGGCCTTTGGAGTTGCTGCTGATAAATCCAAAGAGAAGCTGACAAAAGAAACGAGACGCGCTGCTGCTGCTGCTGCTGCTGCTGCTGCGGCGGTTGCTGCTGCTGCTGCTGCTTCTGGTGGGCTCGCTGCTGCTGCTGCTGCTGCTTCTGGTGGGCTCGCTGCTGCTGCTGCTGCTGCTGCTGCTGCTTCTTCAGCTGCTGCTGCAGCAGCTGGAGCTTCGGCTTCTCCTGCTGCTGCAGCAGACGCCGCAGGGCCCTCCCCCCCGTTGGGGTGTACGTACAGCGCAGAGGGGGCCCCCCTGGGGCCCCTCCTGTGGGGCCCCCTGGGGCCCCTTCTGGGGGGCCCCTGGGGGCCCCGGGGGGCCCCCCCGGGGGGCCCCTTAGTTGCTGCTGCCTCCTCTGCTGCTGCTTCGTGCAGCAGCAGAAACTCCAGGGCGGCTGTGGGGCCCCTGCTGCTGCTTGGGGTGTACAGACAGCTCATGGGGCCCCGCAGCAAACCAGAAAAACCCAAACCCGCCGATTTGCTTCGACAAAAAAGAACTATTTGAATTAAAATGAATTAAAATGCATATTCAAATATTAAATTCGCATTTAATTCAAAAATCAAATAAAATAAAATCCAAATTAGAAGCAAAACAACCGGCGGGGCCCCCGGGGGGCCCCAGGGGCCCCCAGGGGCCCCCAGGGCCCCCCAGTGGCCCCCAGGGGCCCCCAGGGGCCCCCCAGGGCCTTGAGGGTCTCGAAGTTGGAGGAAAATATATTTTTTGGATTAAATGAAATAAATAAAATGGGATTTAATTAATTTTGTGGATATTTGAACAAATGGAAGAAAATAGTTTCGAAAGTTGGGACTCTGGGGTGTCGGTACAGCCGAAAAAGCGGAAAAACTTGGAGTTTTTTGGCGAATTTGAGTTCATTTTTGATTATTTTTAAATCCAAGTTTTATTTTCTTTTAAATGAACAAATAAAATGCATTCTTGTCGCTTTTTGGCGCCCCTTTTGGGCCCAAAAAGGGGCCCCGGGGGCCCCCTTTGGGGGGGGGCCCCCCGGGGGCTGCGCATGTACCCCCCGCCCCACAACAGGCGCATGCACAGACACCCGGACCCTGCAGCAGCAGCAGCAGCTCCTCCTCCCCACATTCCCCTGCCGCCGCCTGCCCAGCAGCAGCAGCAGCAGCAGCAGCAACAGCAGCAGCAGCAGCAGCAGCAGCAGCAGCAGCAGCAGTGGCAGCAGCTTTCGTTTGCAGGCGCTCCAGCGTCTCCGGCTGCAGCGGCTGTTGCGGCTCCCACCCCTGGCTGGCCCACCGGGGGCCCCCTGGGGGGCCCCCTGGGGGGCCCCCTGGGGGGCCCCCTGGGGGCCCCAGGGGCCCCTGGGGGGCCCCCAGAGGGGCCCCCAGGGGGCCCCGCTTTGACTGATATTATTAAGGGCCATGTGGCGGCGCAGCGGTGGATGCAGCAAAGGATGTGGGGGGCGCTGACGCGGCGTCAGTGGCCGCTGTTGGAGCGTTTGTTTTCGAATTACTGGTGAAGGAAATGGAAAAAAGGGGATTAAATGGATGAAATTGATGGAAATAATCGATTTAATTCGATTAATTGGGTTTATTTTATTCTTTTATTCGTTTATTTCGCTTAATTTGGATTTAATCTCATTAATTTGGTTCATTTTGTTCTTTTATTCATTTAATTCGCTCCAGTCGCCTCTTTTCTCCGGCGCTGGGGTGTATGGGCAGGTGGTGTACGTACAGCGCAGCGGAATGAACGTTTTGACTTTTAACATTTCATTTAATTTGAATTAAAAGTTTTAATTTTTATTTAAATTAATTAATTTAAAACATTTAATTCCATTTATTTGCATTTGCGCATGCAGGCGCTGCGGGCTTAACTATGACGAGGTCACTTACACCCTAAAGCTGCATGCGTACATTTTGAACCACCGGGCCAAGCCCGAAAAGGTGGAAAAAGAATTTTAATTAATTTTAAAGTTTAATTTAAAATATAATTAGTTTTAAATATATTTAATTTTAAAAAGATAAATGTAATTAATTGCAAATAGAACGTTATTTGCGCAAAAAGAACAAAAGGGGAAGCTGATGGGAAGAAACTCGAATTAAATTGATGTATGTGAAGTTAGATGAATAAAATAAATTAAAATTAATTAATTTAAATTAATTGCGGCCAAATAGAATTAAACAAAAAAGAAATAAACAAAAAACAAAATGAGCAATTTGCCACAATACACCTGAGCGGCCTGGTGTACGTACACCTGAAACGAAGCCAGTCGTCGCGGTGTTCGTTTTGTTCCTTCATTTTTATTTGGACTTCTCCAATCTCTATTTCTTTGTTTCTTTTGCTTCATTTGTTTAGTTTTATTGTTTTATTTAATTCATCTATTTGCTGTAACCGCAGCCAGTGCAGCAACGGGCGCAGAAGGAAAAACTGAGGGTTTAGGGTTTAGGGTTTAGGGTTTAGGTAGCTGGAGCAGCGCCAGCGGGGCTGATGTGCTGCTGCGCAGACGTTGAGGATTCATTTAATTGCATTTTAATTGTATTTTAATTCATAATTATATTTTAATTCATTAATTCATTTTGTTTTGATAAATGTCTTCAGGCTTTTCTGGTTTTGGAAGAAATGAAAGCAGCAAATATGCACCCGGCGATTGTGCGGCTGAACGAGGTGCTGTCTGTACACCTGAAACGGCGCTTGCTTCTGCATGCTCTCTTTTGTTTATTATTTCTTTTTGTTTGCTTTTATTTGCCCTTTAAATTCATTTATTTTTAATTTATTTCATTCTTTTTTCCATTTAAAAGCAGCTTTCAGCGAACTGAAGCTGCACTGGTGAACCCAAAAATGCGAGTGAAGCTTCAGGTGTCTGTACACCCTAAAGCTGCATCTTCTTGCTTTCTGCCGAGCTTCTAATGTGCACTTTAAATCCTTATTTATTTTTTACATTGATATATTTATAAATTAATATTACTTAGAACTATAGATCTGTCTTTATTTGCACCTTTCTGCATTTCTTTATTTGCAAATTCTCGCAAAGATAAATGCCTGGTTACGGTGTACATACACCCCAGCCCACAAAGGCAAAACGAAATTGTTTTCCTTTCTTTTCGTTTTTTCACCATTAAAGTGTCCTGTATCCCCATATATATATATATATATATATATATATATATATATATATATATATATATATATATATATATATATATATTGTGCTATATTTATTAATTATATTATTTATAAATTAGTTTTTAAATTATTTATTTTAATTTTCTTTTCTTTTTTGTCTCAGGGGATCGTCGTCTCCCAGATGGAGCTGCAGGACATTTTCTGCGCGCTGCCTTCGGCGGCTTACCAGAACCTCGCGAGGCTTTCTTTTCACAGTTCTGTGAAGTAAAACAAATTAAAATAAAAAATAATTAAAATAAATTAATCTAAAGCAACTGAATTCACTTTAGTTTAATTTAAAACTAATTTAAATGCTAATTTCCAGAAAAAAGGAGAAAAAATGATCCAAAATGACTTTCTGGAAACGAACTAGCAAACAGAATTTAAATTTGTTTTTAATATTTCTAAAAAGAATTTATTTAATTAAATATTAGTTTGTTTTAATTACATTTCCTAAGATTGAGTTTTGTTTAATTAAACATTTATTATTTAATTATATAGTCTAAAAAGGGTTTTATTTAATTAATCATTTATTTATTTTAATTTTTTATTTCTTTCGCTCATTTTCTTTCACGGGCTTCTTGGCCGTGCAGATTCAGGTGTACGTACACCTCACACTTGCTTTGGCCTGTATCTTCCGTCCCTCAAATTATTTTATTTTTATTTTTTTCCTTTTAACTTTTTAATTTTTATTTTGTTTTATTTTATTTTAGGGTCCAAAGACAGAGGCGCATTCGGCTGAGGGAGAAGCTGATGGCAATGCCTCAAGACGAACTCTTCGCACTCTCCTACAAAGTGCTGCTGCTGCTGCTGTTGCTGCTGCTGCTGCTGCTGCTGCTACTGTTGTTGTTGCTGCTGCTGCTACTGCTGTTGCTGCTGCTGCTGCTACTGTTGTTGCTGCTGCTGCTGCTGCTGGCGTCCCGTCTGCCGTGTGGCAGTCTCTCTTCTGCTGCCGTTGCCGCTGCTGCTCTTCTGCTGCTGTTGCTGCTGCTGCTGTCCCAGTTGGCTGTGTTGCAGCTGGCGACTTTGCGCTGCTGCTGCTGCTGCTGCCGAAGCTGCTGCTGCTGCTGCTGCCGAAGCTGCTGCTGCTGCTGCTGCTGCTTGTGGCTGTCAGGACGTGCTGGCGCTGCTGGACTCCACTGAGCGCTCACTTTGCTTCCCAGAAGCTTCTCTGAGTCTCATTGCTGCAGAGCAGCAGGCGGAGTTTGCTGCCATTTCAGGTGTACGTACACCTGAAAACCAGCCCCTAAACGCCCCCCTCTTGGCTGCACTGACGGAAGCTTTGGGCCTTCAAGAAGAACTTTCTGAGAGCAGCGCAGCAACAAGTCACGAGCTGCAGCAGCTGCAGCAGCTGCAGCAGCTGCAGCAGCTGCAGCAGCAGCACGGGCTGCAGCAGCAGCACGAGCTGCAGCAGCAGCAGCAGCTGCCGCTCGCAGAGCTGTCCAGACACTTGAGCGACCTCGACGAAGCAGAAGAGGGGCCCATTGATGCCGCAGAGTTGGAGTGTATGTACACCTCAGAGGAGGCGATGGGGGCCCTCCCAGGGCCCCCACCAGCTGCTGCTGCAGCAGCAGCAGCAGCAGCAACAACAACAACTGCTGCTGCTGCTGCTGCTCCGTCTCTGTCCGACCTGCAGCCCCTAAAGCCCCGCAACAGCCGCGGCCGCGGCAGCTGAGCTGCAGCTGCATGCATTTTAAAAAAGAATTAATTTTTAAATTTAATTTTTGAATTAAATAAAACAAATTTATAATATATATAAGGCAATGCATTTATAAATAATGTGCATTTTATTATATCTTGGTTAAAGTCTATGATACTTAGAAACTGCATTTGTAACAATTGCATTAAATTCAAATGCAATTTTCTAGCTGAACAGCTGCAGCAGTTAACTAGTCAGCAGCAGCAGCAGCAGCAGCAGCAGCAGCAGCAGCAGCAGCAGCAGCAGCAGCAAAGGGAAGCCAGAGCCTGTATAGAGAAGTAGAGAGAAGGGAAGGGGCTGCGGCGAGGCAAGTGAGGAGCTGCTGTGCGGGCTAAAAGGGCTCAAAGAGAAGCTTAGATAAATAAATAAATTAAAGAAAGATTAAAGTTTAATTAAAAAGAAAAAAGAAAGGAAATAATTCGAGAAAAGGAGAAGTTCCTGAGGCGCCAGCGAGCGCCAGCGGTCGGGTGGGCTGTGTCTGCGCGGCAAGTTGCTCTTTTTTAGAATAAATTGTCCATAAATTGATGAAATGGAGTTTTAAATTTAAAATAAAAATGAATTTGAAGATAGTTTGCGTGAAAACTGAACGGGGGGAGTAGCAATTTCAGGTGTATGTGGACCTGCCGCTGACCGCATGCGCCGCCGCGCAAGATCGCGCGAGTTTGGGAATCTTTTCCGGATTAAAAGAATAAATATTATTAAAATAAAGTTCTATTCGATGAACTTGAACAGAATATTTCTTTTTTTCTGCATTTGCGTCGCATTTTAGCAGTGGATCGCCGCCGCGAACTCGCGCGACACCCGGGCGGTCCGGACTTGCAAAAACTTGAATGGATGGATTTTTGCGATTTAAAACTTCTTTTGGACCATTTTTTCTTTTCTTTTCTTCTTTTCCGGAGGATTTGGAGTTAATTTCGGAGTTGGGGCTCCGCGCTGCGCTCAGTTAATGCCCCAACTTGAACAGGAGGAATCTCGCTGAGTTCGGCCTCCCCGGCGCTGCAGACGAGCCGCTGCTGCTGCTGCTGCTGCTGCTGCTGCTGCTCGTTGCTGCCCGCAGCGCAGGCGGTGGCGCTGCTGCAGGAGCTGCTGCGGGAGGCGCTGGTTGCTGCTGCTGCTGCTGCGGCGGGCGCAGCAGCAGCAGCAGCTGCTGCCATGTTCCACTTCCTGCTTCTGGTGTCTAGACAGGGCAAGGTCCGCCTCTGTCGCTGGTTCGGAGACTGCGAAGCAGAAAAAGAAATTTCTTCTTTTTTGCATTTTGCTGCTCGCAGCGCAAAAGCTCGAAATGAACTCATCAGAGACGCAGCAGCAAAAGTGCTGCAGCGCAACGCCAGGCAGTGCAACGTCATTGAGTGGCGCGAAGACACCAAACTCGTCTTCAAGCGGTCTGCTGCTGCTGCTGCTGCTGCTGCTGCGGTGCTGCTGCTGCTGTGCTGCTGCTGCTGCAGTGCTGCTGGTGCGGTGCTGCTGCTGCAGTGCTGCTGCTGCTGCAGTAATGCTGCTGCAGTGCTGCTGCTGCTGCAGTGCTGCTGCTGCTGCAGTAATGCTGCAGTGCTGCTGCTGCTGCAGTGCTGCTGCTGCTGCAGTACTGCTGCTGCAGTGCTGCTGCTGCTACAGTACTGCTGCTGCAACGCTGCTGCTGCAGTGCTGCTGCAGTGCTGCTGCTGCTGCAGTACTGCTGCTGCAGTGCTGCTGCTGCAGTGCTGCTGCTGCAGTGCTGCTGCTGCTGCAACACTGCTGCTGCTGCTGCAGTGCTGCTGCTGCTACAACACTGCTGCTGCTGCTGCTGCTGCTTTGCTTCTACTTGGTGCTGATGCACTTGCCAGCTGGCTGTTTTGCTGTTCCTGTATATTAGTATATATATTATCTGTATGTAATATATAAATATATATATTATGTATATATATATATATCAAAATGCTAGAATTTGAAATCTTTTTGAAGTTTTATTTAATTTTTGATTTTTAATATTTAATACTTAAATTTAAATATTTAATATTTGATATTTAACTGAAATAAAATCGAATTGAGACAGCGAGCTCCACGCCGCCCCCAATTAATTGACATATATAAATAAACAACTAAATAAATAAATAAATAAATTCATTAATTAATTAATTAAAATAAATAAATAAATAAATAAATAAATATAATAATTGCTTTTGCTGTTTGTTTGGCTTTTGCAGATACGCCAGTCTGTTTTTCATCGCCTGCGTGGACGCGAACGAAAACGCACTTCTAGTTTTGGAAGTTGTGCACCATTATGTCGAAGTTTTGGACAAATATTTCGGAAATGTTTGCGAATTAGATTTAATATTCAACTTCCACAAAGTGCGCGTTGAAAACGCGCGTTCAGAGCTGCCTGTACACCCCAGGAGCTGCCTGTACACCCCAGGAGCTGCCTGTACACCCCAAGCAGCTGTCTGTGCACCTGGGACTTCGCGCGTGTTTTTGTTTGAAATAAATCTGCAAAAGTGGTTTTATTTTTTTGTTTTGCTGCATTTAATATTTGGGACTGGCTGGGTGCAGCATTTCTCTTCTGCTGCATGCAGCATTAGGTTTTGCTGCATGCAGCACTGCCACTTTGCTGCATGCAGCAGCAAGTTTGTTTGCATGCATCCTCAAGTTTGTTTGCATCTTCTTTAACTTTGCTTGCATGCTTTGCATGCATCCTTCACTGCATGCACCCTTAAATTCACTTGCATGCATGCACTTTGCTTGCATGCTTTGCATGCATCCTTCACTGCATGCACCCTTAAATTCACTTGCATGCATGCATGCACCTACAAATCCATTCGCGTGCATGCACGTTCAAATCCAATTGCACGCACGCATGCATGCATGCATGCATGCATGCACGTTGAAGTTGATTTGCACTTATGGATGCATGCATGCATGCATGCATGCATGCATGCATGCAAGCACTTATGCATGCACTTATGCATGCATGCACTTATGCATGCATTTATGCATGCATTTGTGGTTTGGTGGGTCGCATGCAGGCGTACTACTTGCTGGACGAAGTGCTGTGCGGGGGCGAACTGCAGGAGTCGAGCAAAAAGGCCATTTTGAGAATTGTCGGCGCCCAAGACGCCCTCACTGAAGAGACCAACGCAAAACCCTCCAAACTCCACTGAGCTGTACAGACACCCCAACGCCACGGGGTGTACAGACACCGCAGCTGCAGTGGGGTGTACAGACACCCCAACGCAGTGCGGTGTACAGACACCCCAGGAAAGTGGGGTGTACAGACACCGCAGCTCCACTGAGCTGTGCAGACACCCCAGCTGCAGTGGGGTGTATAGACACCGCAGCTGCAGTGGGGTGTACAGACACCCCAACGCAACGGGGTGTACAGACACCGCAGGGAAGTGGGGTGTACAGACACTGCAGCTGCAGTGGGGTGTACAGACACCCCAACGCAACGGGGTGTACAGACACCCCAGCTGCAGCAAGGTGTACAGACACTGCAGGTGCAGTGGGGTGTACAGACACCTCAGGGCAGTGGGGTGTACAGACAGCTCGGGGAGTGGGGTCTGCAGACACCGCAGGGCAGTGGGGTGTACAGGGGGGTGGGTGTACAGACACCTCAGGGCAGTGGGGTGTACAGACACTGCAGGTGCAGTGGGGTGTACAGACACCGCAGGGCACTGGGGAGTACAGACAGAGCAGCCACAGGGAGGTGGACTGACACCGCAGGGCGCTGGGGTGTACAGACACCCCAGGGCAATGGGGTGAAGAGATGCAGCAGCTGCCGTGGGGTGTACATACACCGCAGTGCAGTGGGGTGTACAGACACCCCAAGGCACTGGGGTGTACATACACCGCAGTGCAGTGGGGTGTACAGACACCCCAAGGCGCTGGGGTGTACATACACCGCAGTGCAGTGGGGTGCAGCGGGGTGTACAGACACCGCAGCTGCAGCGGGGTGTACAGACACCCGAGTGCGCTGAGGTGTACAGACACCGCAGGGCAGTGGGGTGTACAGACACCGCAGGTGCAATGGGATGTACAGACACTGCTGCTGCAGTGGGGTGTACAGACACCACAGGTGCGCTGAGGTGTACATACACCGCAGTGCTGAGGTGTACAGACACTGCATCGGCGCTCAGGTGTACAGACACCGCAGGAGCAGTGGGGTGTGCTGAGGTGTACAGACACCGCAGCTGCGCTGGGGTGTACAGACACCGCAGCTGCGCTGAGGTGTACAGACACCGCAGCTGCGCTGTTTTGGTCTTTTCCGACTGCGGCTTTCGAGGCCAGCCATTTTAGGAGAGAATTAATTGCAGCAATTTAGCAGCACTTCAGTTTGAAAAAGAAATGCAGTTTCTTTTTTAAATGCAATTTATTTCCTCATTTAATTGAAATTATTATTTTTGTTTAGATGCCCTTCTTTAGTGTCTTGTTGTGTTTGAAGGAGCAGCTGAAACGCGTTGCTGCAGCACTTGCTGCTGCTGCTGCTGCAGCGGCAGCAGCAGCTCGAGGCAGCAACAGGGCCTGGTGGCTGCTGCAGCAGCAGCAATGCATAGCAGCAGCAGCAACTCGGAGCAGCAGCAGCAGCAGCAGCAGCAGCAGCACTTGGCCTCCCTATGCATGCGCGCTTCCTACTTTACCTTCTTACAGTGTAAAGCCTCCACACGTGCATGCACACTATATATATATATATATATATACATATATATATATATATATACATATACATATATATACATATATATATATGTATATATTAGATACTTACACATATCATGCTTATATGTGTAAGTATATATATACATATAAATATATGTATACATACGTATATATATATATCATTTATATATATATATACTTACATATACATATATATATATGTATATATACATGTACATATATATATATATATATATACATACTTATATATATATATATTGTATATATATATATATATATATATACATATATATATATATACTTATACATATTATGCTTATATATATATACATACTTACACATATATATATGTATACTTATATAAGTATATACACTTCATGTATATACTCATATATATATACTTATATACGTATATATATATATACATATACATATATATACATATATATATTAATATATATATTTATATACATAAAAGTGCATAGAATTGCTTGCATTTATGTGTTGTATAAGTGCATGCAAAAGGAGAGTTTGAAAAGAGTAAAAAGAGCAATTATATAAACGCATGCAGAAGCAGCAAAGGGTTTGTATTTGCTGCTGGGTGTGCAAGTAGACAGCGAGGGTTTGCAGATCTGGGGGTTTTGGGGGTTGTTTTCCGTCTTTCTGCTGCCGTTTGAAACAAAAAATAAAATAAAATGAAATAAATAATTAAAAGAACTCCGAAAAGCGAAAAAAAGGGAAAAAAGAAAGGTGCAGATACACCCGGGGGCCCCCGGGGGCCCCCAAGGTCCTGCGGCGGCGACGGCGCCGCCGCCGAATTTCAATTTGTTGAAAAGTTTTGAATTTTTAATTTAAAATTTGAAAATAAAATAAAAATTGGAATATTTTGAAGAATTAATTTGCAAAATAATTCAACTGCGGGCTCGGGAGGCCCGGGGGTTCGCCGAGGTGACCTCGTGGCGGTCGCGGGCGTTTCGTTGCGGAATTTCGCGGATTTTTCCCCTTTTTTGGATTTATTTTAATTTATTTAAACTTTTTTTTGAATTTTATTTCATTTAATTCCACTAAAGATCCAACTTGGTCTTTTTTCCGGCGTTGCTGCGCGAGATCAGCCCGGGGGGCCCCCTGGCCCGAGACGCGATCTGCTGCTTTATTTTTCCGTTCTTTTCCACTTTTTTGCAAATTAAAACATTTAATTGAATCCATTTAATCAAATTATTCATTTAAATTATCCATTTGACGCAAACAAACTAACATTCGCCTCGCTGCAGCCACAGCCACGCGGTGTGCTGCTGAGCAGCTAGGGTTTAGGGTTTAGGGTTTAGGGTTTAGGGTTTAGTGAGGACTGGCCGAGGCTTTTTTCCTCGTTCGAAGCAGCAAAAGCAGGGGGAGTCTGGAGAAGAAAAAGAGAAAAGAAATGAAAAAGAAGTTCAAATAAACTGAACAATTAAATAAATAAATAAAAATAAAAAACTGAAATTCAAAACTGAAATATGACTGAGGGGGAGCTGGAGCGCTGCAGGCTGAGCTGTCTGTACACCTCGCTGCGGCGCGCGGCGGGAAAACGCGAAGTGCGAAAAAAAGAGGAAAAGAATTAATTCTTTTTGATTTAAACTTTAAAAGAATTAAATATTTTAATTCTTTTTAAAAATAAACTTCATTTAATTCCAAAGTCCTTCAAAATGCACAAATATAAAGTCCTCGGAGTCATTGGAGAGGGCGCTTACGGCGTAGTGCTCAAGTGCTGCAACAAGGTGGGAACTTGAAAATAAATTAAATAAATTAATAAATTAAATCAGTTTTCTTTTTTTTATTTATTTTGTAAATCTCAAACAACAAAACCTTTCAATGGAAATAAAACTACTCTTTTTCCCTCAAGGGAACAGTTGCGCATCGAACGCAGTAACGCATCCTCACCGAGGGTTTAGGGTTTAGGGTTTAGGGTTTAGGGTTTAGGGTTTAGGGTTTAGGTTTTGCAGTGCAGCATTTCCCGCAGCAAAGCCACAAAGCCTCGTCAACAAGCTCCCAGCCTTGAGTTCAGGCGTACAAATTGCACAGTTCATGGTTTAGGGTTTAGGGTTTAGGGTTTAGGGTTTAGGTTTTAGGGTTTAGGCAACGCTTGTGGGCCACAGGAAACTGGAGAACTTGTGGCAATTAAATCTTTTAAATGGATGAATGGTGGGTAACAAAAGCAAATTGACAATTAAAAATAAATAAATAAATAAATAAATAAATAAATAAATAAATAAATAAATAAATAAATAAATAAATAAATAGATTTATTGATTTATTATATCTTTTCTCTTCTTTTTGTTGTACTGTTCTTTTACCTTTCAATTGCCCAAACGCTTCGATTCAATCTTTCTTTTTTGCCCTAAACCCTAAACCCTAAACCCTAAACCTTAAACCCTAAACCCTAAACCCTTTTGGAGGCTTTGTTTTGCCGATTTTTTCAATTGGCTTCGGCCAAGTTGTTCATTTATTTTTAGACTTGTGTCGGATCTTAAACCCTAAACCCTAAACCCTAAACCCTAAACCGTATGCCGCAACCCCTGTACCTTAAACCCTAGACTCTGGACACTGAAACCCCAAACCCTAAACCCTAAACCCTAAACCCTAAACCCTACAGCTGCACGAACTCGGCTGCTATGCCGCCTGCTCCGCCTGCATGTTGCAAACGAACGAACTGATTAATAAAATAATAAAAAAACGAATTTAATTAATTATTTAATTTAATTTAATTAATTAATTAATTATTTATTTATTTATTTATTTATTTATTTATTTATTTATTTATTTATTTATTTATTTTCAGATTCGAGCAGACTCGAAAAAACAATTGGAAGAGAAATTTCTTTTCTGCGAAGACTGCAGCACGAGAATATCGTTTTGCTGCTCGAGACAATTAGAAGGCGAGACTTTTATTTATTTTATTTTAATTTACTTTTATTTATTTTATTTTATTTTACTTTTATTTATTTTATTTTAATTTACTTTTATTTATTTTATTTTAATTTACTTTTATTTATTTTATTTTATTTTACTTTTATTTATTTGTTTATTTTAATTCGCCATTATTTATTTGTTTATTTTTATTTACTTTTATTTATTTGTTTATTTTAATTCTTAATTAATTAATTAATTAATTAGCTAAATAAAATAAATAAATCGTTAATTCATTAACTAATTAATTAATTAATTAATTAATTAACTAGTTGCTTAATTAATTAATTCACTAATTCATTAGTTAATTAATTAATTAATTAGTTAACTAATCAATTATTTAATTAGTTAATTATTTAATTATTTAATTAGTTAATTAGTTAATTAGTTAATTAATTATTTAGTTAATTAACAAATTAAGTAATTACTTAAGTAGTTATTTAATTAATTAATCGATTACTATTTATTTATTCGCTTGCTTTTTTCTTTTTTGTTTTTTTACTTTTTGTCTTTTTATTTATTTATCTATTTATTACTTATT